GGCGCGTCTGCCTCGCTCGGTCGGAGCCGCTTCGAAAAACTCAGTCAGCCGGACCGAAGCCGGGCGGGCTAAAAGTTTTCCGAAACTTCGACGACGCGGCCGAGAACGAGTAAAGATTGAAATATATATTCGTCTCTCGCTTTTTTTTTTTTTTTTTTTATTCCTGTCGTTTCTGCTTCCTCTTTTCTTCTTTTTCTCACGCCGGAGGATTCGTTGCTTTTATCCCGATGCGCCATATCGGATTTGTAATTCGGCGACTCGTGTTCATCGATCGTTCATTCGTCGTAACGTTGTCGTCCCTCGACGCGCTCAAAAGCCGATAAGGTTCAAACACACGGACTCGCGTGCCTCGTCGTCGGTGCCTAATTCGCACACGGGTTTAATTTTGACGATTACAGTTTTAGAACGGAAATCATCCATAAAAACGTCATCGATCATATAAAGAACGCTAATCTTGTAAAATCGACGGTTTCAAAGCTTTTTTTTTTTATCACATCGAGTACTCTTCAAAAAAGAGGTCTTTAATGCGGGTCTTTTTGAGTTATTACACGATGTGCAAGAGAGAAAATTTACGATTACCAGCGATAATTAAAAAAAAAAGAAAATAAAAAATGTAAAAATCATTACGTAAATGTAAAACGCGAAGAACAATTTTCAATAATCTAATAAATAATTTATTTATCCTTCTTTAAAATGTGAGGAGTAAAAAATGCTCAAGATGAAAGATAGTTTGAATAATATTGTGAATAAACACGGAACGAAAATCTCTGCTTTTTCGTTTGCTGCATGTAATTATCCGGAATGAATTATCCGGGGGGGAAGAGAAACGTGTAAACAATATTTTATCCCAAGTGACTAACACGCAGTAAAGCGTCGGAAGGTTTCCTTTCACGACCGGTTATATTACTGGGATGCGCAACTCGAATATTAAAGCGGACTACATTACTACGTTCAGCTTAAATTAAAATTAATTGAGCCACATTATCAACTTTGTTTCAATGCTTTAATTGCGGGTGGGTGTATTCTCTTACTGGCGCGGGGATATCATAGGTATTTGGTATCTGTTCAATTTTGTCTTGTTAGCGAATTTATATTATTAGTTAACAAACTTAGTTTAATTAATTAAACTTAAAGAATCTTATGATCAATCAAGAGATCATTGCTTTTTACGTTAATGTTTTCATGTTTGTTTTACATTTTTAATGTAAATTTTTTTAATGTTGAAAAAAATTATATATATATACATCGTATACATATGTATGTATCTATACGGGGTGTCCGAAAGTTTAAGTTTGACACAACGAAAAATTTTGTAGACAATTTAAAAAAAAAAAAGCCGACACACGTCTTTCAGTATTTTGAGTAAGGATTTAAATAGCATTATTAGTGTTTTAATGCGTGGGCGTTTTCAAGGTCATTTTAAGGTCAACTTGTTTTTTATATCGTAAACCTACATTTTTGATTTTGAAATTCTAATCTACATAAAACAACGCATAACTTTTATCTGGAACATTTTTTGGTAGGACTTCTGTGTTTCGAGATATTAAGAGAAACATTTACAGTATAAATTGTCTAACTATACGATAAAATGTACGACGTGATGGATATCTTCTTTCAGGGTACCACAAAGATCAAAGCCTTCCAACTGATCACGTGACCGCATAGAAATCTTATGGCGCAAACCGCACGCCATGTGCGAGTTGGAAATTAACAGCTTTTTCAATGTTTTGTCTTGATTCACCATAAAAAAAAATTATTTCAATTTTTTCTGCAATTGTTAAATATTCCAAAAAACGGAAATGATTTTTTAAATGATGAATCAAGATAAAATATTGAAAAAACTGTTAATTTGTATGCTCTTTGTGGTACCCCGAAAGAAGATATCCATCACGTCGTACATTTTATCGTATAGTTAGACAATTTATACTGTAAATGTTTCTCTTAATATCTTGAAACACAGAAGTCCTGCAAAAAACTGTTTTAAACAAAAGTTATGCGTTGTTTTATGTAGATTAAGATGCCACAATAAAAAATGTAGGTTTATAATATAAAAAAAAAGTTGATCTTAAAGTGACCTTGAAAACGCTCGCGCATTAAAACACTAATAGTGTCATTTGAATCCTTACTCAAAATGCTGAAAGACGTGTGTCGGCTCTTTTTTTTTTAAATCAATCGTCTACGAGATTTTTTGCTGTGTCAACTTAAATGGGACACCCTGTACATATATGTATATATATCGGATCACATTAATTAATTAATTACTTAATAGTTATTGCAAATTCTGCAAAATGGTACATAACTTTTTAGTTCAGGTTAATCCAATCTACCTTCAGACTTTGGTTGTGTCAACATTTTTTAGACATCCCGTATATATATATTGCTATATCTATTTTATATATATATATATTGTATATATATAATTATAAAAGAGTTGTAAACAACACTGAGAGAAAACGAGTTAGAAAAAAAACAGAGTACGCGTGTAACGCGGAAACACAAGCGCACCTGATGCGCTTGCATCCTAATAAGATTGCAAGTGCTTTAACTTCGTCGCTCAACTTCGTTAAAGAACACACACGGAAGATTTTTACCTCTCTCGTGGAAAAGAGAGAGCTCGTGTAAAACGTCTCAGTGAGGGCATATACTTTTCACGACACAATCCCTAAAGAATATGAGAGCGTGTAAATCCGTAAATCTGTTATAGCTCTCTTCAGAAAATTTTGATATGAGGGTTGTTGAAAGAGAGGAAGAATAGTCAAAATATATATGTATACAATATGTGTGTGTACACATACGCATACAAATTTATAATACTACATAACCTAACCTAACGACCTAATTGCTATGTAAATATACGCGTATATCAAACATAGAATGTTTCACAACACTAACAATAAGTTTAGAAAGCTTTTATAAACTAAAACATAACGACACTTATAATTATCAAGTAAGATTACCAAAGAAACTGCTTTTGTTACATTTTAATATATAATTTGTATAATATATAAATTTAAAATATAACAAACTTATAAGAATTCCCGGTAAAAAATTTTTCATATATACTTATACACAAATTAGAATTATTATATCTAATTATCCAAATTTATATGCCGAATATGTCCATACAATTTTATACACGGAGAATTTCTTTTTTTAAGAGAATGGCTTCAGAGATATTCCANATCAAATTACAAAATAACTCTATTAGTATCATGTTAGATACAAAAAATTATATAAAACTATATTTTTACTATATTTTTAAAAAATTTTTGATATATAATCGTAAATACTTGTACACAAATTAAACTTATTATATCTAATTGTGCAAATTGTGTGTGTGCCGAATATGTCCATACAATTTTATAAATGGAAAATTTTTTACCGGGTTAATATACAAATTTGAATAAAATAAAATTTTTATAGAATTTTTCGCCAATATATGTAAATTCGCGAAAGTTTAAATTTTATTTTTTATTGTAAAAATAAAAGCTTTTACTATTTTGCTTATGTAAAACATTGAACAATACATAACATAAATATACATATACAATATATACGTGACATATACGTGTATATTGACATATCTCTGTTTATTTTGTTAATAAGCAAAACAGTGACAACAAAAGTTAAATTTAAGTTGTGCAACAAAAAAATAAAATTTAACCTTTGCGTTTTTTACACGTTGTCTAAAACTTACGTAAAACTTATCCTGTTCACATATCTGTCGTTATTTCAAATTTATATGTTACGTAAAATATTTAAAAAAAAGCAATTTTTTCGGTAATATATCACTTACTTGATAATTATAACTTTTATTATGTTTTAATTGTAGAACTTTTCTAAAATTATTAGTGTGAAGACCGTTGAAAAACATCGTGTGTGTTTGATATATACGAGCATGTGTGTGTATTATATTATACATTCACGCAGCAATTAAGTCGTTTGGGTTTTATGGTATTATAATTGTAGAGTATTTTCTAAAATTAGACTGTGTGGTTAAGCACGTAATTCAGAGTAGGGTTGTGAGAGGAGCCGCTGTAAGGGTTACATAAGGGCCTCAAGGGCTGCACACAACTCGTAGAATTCGAAAGTTTGGATTGCATCTCCGTGCTGGCCCCCAACCAATTGGTTTAGAAGTTTCGTCCGGTATAACAATGGCGGAAAATGTCAGAAATGTCGGGACACGCCGGTGCGATTTTGTGGGTATCTCAAATAAATTCAATTATCCTGCTCGCCTCATCCATGTGAGGTTAGTATTACACGAATATAATATATATATATATGCATCGCGTCGCAAATTAATTGCAAAACTGTTTTTCAGCAATTAATCGAAAGAGTTTCTCGCATTACCATATTTTTACAAACTGAAATCATTTTATAATACACTTTTCAGTTTTGAAGAGTTTATTTTATTATTTTATAATTGTTTTACATAACAATGAAATAATGAAATATTTCGAGAAAGATAGATTCATAAAACAAATTGATATTGAAAATAATATAATATTTCTCATATATATACACAGAACTTTCAATATTTTTTTCCATATTTCAATTAAAAAACATAAACGTGTATGTGTGTATTCTGACTAATTGGGAACAAAAGTAGGGGAAAAGTTGTGTATTACTGTATTTTGCATATTGCAAATCGTAACTTGTAAAAACAATTTTTTTTTTCTTTCGAACCGCAGAATTGATATAGTGCGAAACATTTGCGAAGTAAACTAGAAACCGCATAACGGGCTCGCGTACCTGTTGGAACAAAATATTTTACCTTGCCGTAAATAAATTGCTTGTCAGAGTTTGAGTAAACTATTTTCCTAGGAACGTTCTCTATTTTTACAAACAAAGAAGATTACTTTAACATTTGCGATACAACGTTTGTTTATACAATATCTTTTTCTTACTATTTACAAACGCATTGATAAATAATCTTTTTTTTTTCGTTAATTCATTATTTCAATCTTGACTCAAACCACTACTTTCGCTTTATATTGCAGGCTTGAGGCAGCGCACCGGACCGACGGATTCTCCGAGGGGAGGTGAGTTTTACCTGTCGAATCACCTGTCATTTCTTAAAAAAAAAAAAAAACCATAAAGTTAGAAAAAAAAAATAAAAAGAAAAAAAAAATTAAGAACAAAAAAACAGCCGTAATATAATTCGAAATGGTGAAATAGACCTTCCAGCTATGAAACCAAGATTGAGGTGGTCTAAATAAAATCAAATTGAATCCAAAACGGAGATCAGAGGAACGTTTCGATCTTTATTTTTTAGATCATCATCAGCCTCACTGGACGGAACAAAAAATACAAAAAAATTACAAAAGAATTACAAAAATTAACAAAAATATAAATATAAAAAGTATAAAAGTGAAAAAAGATAATAAGAAAATATAGAAATTGACAGAATTATTACAGCAATATACCCATGTAGGAATTGCCGACAGACTTCCAGTAATACTACTAGGCCAACAATGGCC